CGGGGTTGCCACCAAATAGAGAGATTGAGTTTGCCATCGAATTGATACCCGATCGGATGGCCCTAGCAGAGTTGAAAGAGTTGAAGGAACAGTTACAAGAGTTACTAGATAAGGGCTTTATTAGGCCTAGTGTTTCTCCTTGGGGTGCGCCCGTTTTATTTGTGAAAAAGAAGGATGGTAGTTTTCGCCTTTGCATTGATTATCGAGAGTTGAACAAGGTGACAATCCGAAATAAATATCCTTTGCCTAGGATAGATGACCTATTTGATCAGTTGCAAGGAGCACAAGTCTTTTCTAAGATTGACCTTCGTTCTGGCTATCACCAGTTGAAGGTTAAGGCGGAAGATATACCTAAGACAGCCTTCCGAACTAGGTATGGGCATTATGAATTTTTAGTGATGCCGTTTGGGTTGACCAATGCGCCTGCAGCTTTTATGGATTTAATGAACAGAGTGTTTAAATCCTTCTTAGATCAGTTTGTGGTAGTTTTTATTGATGACATTCTTGTGTACTCAAAGAGTAAAGAGCAGCACGAAGAACATCTGAGAATAGTGTTGCAGATATTAAGGGAGAAGAAATTATTTGCTAAATTAAAGAAGTGTGAATTTTGGCTGGAGAGTGTATCATTTTTGGGTCATGTGATATCTAAAGATGGGGTGTCTGTTGACCCCAAGAAAGTGGAGGCGGTGGTGGAATGGAATCGGCCTACTAGTGTCACTGAAATTCGTAGCTTCTTGGGTTTAGCAGGATATTATAGAAGGTTCGTTGAGGGATTTTCCCGAATTTCTATGCCTTTAACTCGTTTAACACAAAAAGGGGTTAAATTTGAGTGGTCTGATGATTGTGAGAAGAGTTTCCAAGATCTAAAGAGTCGATTGGTGTGTGCTCCAGTACTTATAGTTCCGTCCGGAGATGAAGGTTTTACCATCTATAGTGATGCATCGAAGATGGGCTTGGGTTGTGTCCTGATGCAAAATGATAAGGTAGTGGCATACGCGTCTAGGCAGTTGAAGCCATATGAGCAGAATTATCCTACGCATGATTTGGAGTTGGCTGTCGTGGTGTTTGCATTGAAAATCTGGAGGCACTACCTGTATGGGGTGAAATGTGAGATATTCACTGATCATAAAAGTCTGAAGTATATTTTCACTCAAAAAGAATTGAATATGAGGCAAAGGCAATGGTTGGAGCTATTAAATGACTATGATTTGACTATCAATTATTATCCAGGAAAAGCCAATGCAGTGGCTGATGCCTTGAGTAGAAAGACCCCGAGTAACTTGGCTACCTTGATCACTGACCGAAAGAATATCTTAGAGGACTTGCGAAGGTTGAATATTGAGATTAGATGGCACAACCATGGAGTGCAGTTGGCAAACCTTAAGGTTCAACCCAGATTGATTAATAGAATTAAAGATGCTTAAGGAAGAGATCCTCAGTTGCAAAAACTTAAGGCTGAAATGAAAATAAGGCTACAGATAGAATTTTGTATGCATAAAGATGGAACCTTGAGATTTGGAGAGAGGTTGTGTGTGCCTAATGATTTAGAGCTCAAGAGAGAAATCCAGAGAGAAGCTCACAGTTCAGGGTATACTGTACATCCAGGGAGCACTAAAATGTATAAAGACTTGAAGAGGAACTTTTGGTGGAATAATATGAAGAGGGAAATTGCTCAGTATGTTGCTCAATGTATGGTATGTCAACAAGTGAAAGTTAAACATCAGAGACCTGCAGGTAAGTTACAACCTCTTCTTATTCCCGAGTGGAAGTGGAAACATATTGCCATAGATTTTGTGACGGGGTTGCCTAGGAAGTGGGAACTATTTATTTTTATGGATTTTGGCATTATGACAAATAAGGATTTGATTTGAGTATTTTACATTGTGGGTTATGTGATTGGATTCTTAGCCTTGCATGCTCACTTATATGAGTGTGCGGCGTTGTCACGGAGCTTGGGGCGTGACAGAAACGAAAATTACTGCTTTACAAAATTGTGGTTAGTTAACATATCCTAGCATTTCTTCTATCATGATTCATGATCCACCCAATCGAGAAGTCAGATCAATGTATCTGTCTTCTCTGCAAGGAATGGTGAGACCACCCATTGGATGTTCAAATCCAAATTCTTCCTCAGCTTGGCTTAACAAGTCTTGGAATGAAGGCTGGTTCAAGTATGATATCGGAATTATAAATCGCTTCTTTTCACTCTCTCCAACATAAACTGTAAGATGGCCTTTTGGAACACCTATGGCTGTTAAGGCTTCTTGGTTTGCTTTCAATGATGAAGACCGTCGGTGGACTTGTTTAGTATGAATGATACAAGGCGTACGAATAGCCATTGTTTTGAATTGGGTATATATTTCTCAACAACAAGAAAAATGAATGAAGGACTTGCAGAACAAGTGAAAGTTTTGCTAGTGAAGAATGTGAAGCTTGTGTTGGCTTTCCACTCTTTGATATGCTTATATATAGACCAAAGCTATGTGGGAAATCTTATTATAATCTGGAATGAGTGGTGAAGAAACACTAGAATGGGGTCTACTGAGAGGCACTACCACATGAAGGATCACATGGCTTTGCCTTCCTAGACTCATCACGTCATGAACTGAGAGCAATAGACCACATTGTGTATGTTAGTTAGGCAACATCATTCCCTACCACTTTGGTAACACTGAAATTCAAGAGATAATTTGAGGCATCACATGGTTTTTCCTCCCCAGTAAAATTGTACAATTTTGATTGTTTTCATGTTGTAGCTCTTTGTTGCAATTTTTATGTGGTCAATCATTTAAAGGAGCAACTAAACAGGTCCACCTGACATATGAGTTATTAGCTCAACCATCTACTATCAACACTAGCTAGCAGAAGAACATATGAGCTATCAATTCATATGAAAATGCCGCGTAAAGAATAGAAGGAATTGGTAAAATTGTTTTATGCAGGTATCATCTAGACCCCAAATTGGTTCTGACAAATAAAGTTTCTAGTGTTACAATCTTGATACTATTTCTCAGAGACTATCATGACCATCACATTCAAGCATTATTTTTGGCAACTAAGACAAGGAATTCAATGTTAAGAATGAGTACTTAGGATTCAGAGGTCTTTTGGTTTGAAGATGATCTGTACAATATGAGTTGGGTCCGCATAACACAAGATATTTTACTTTCGAAGAAATAGGTACTGCAGCAGTGAATTAGGGGAGTCATATAAATCTAAATAGATTGCATTCTCTAAGTGATGCCTTGAAAGGTACCTGATTTCATTGCTTTGCTTGGTCAGCATAAGATCATAACCGAATGAAAACTGCACAAGACCTCCACGGACTTGTCTCCCTACAAAACATAAGCAAAGTCTCTGAAATGTCCATTTCCACCCTCCTTGATGAAATCCCACAAGATGCAGAGGCTGCTCCAGCAAGTCGCATTTTTCATATATTTTGATCATCAAAATCCTCAAAAAGACACTTTAGTACTTTCTCACATCAGAAATTGCACACAAAATTGGCAAGCACCTTCACAACAGAATGGGCAACGCATAGTCTCGGGTTTGCTGACTATCTAAATCAAAAAATTCCATAGTCTAATTTTCCTAAACTAATCAGCATCACTCTCTAATTCATGGCCTAATCCCTGTCTACTTCAAGAGCATTTTAGCAAATTACTGTAATTCGATTTCTTTGCTTGCTAAAACATACCATTGACCATGGGATTGAATTCTATAACCAAGACTAACAATTCTAAAGGAAGGCAGTCTCTATAAGGTCTTTTTCACAACATTTATTTTTGTAACATTTTTGTGTTAAAAGAGCAGGCTTAGAGATAGAAAACAGATCCAATCAGACTGAAACCGGCGATAATTTCATTGAAGTGTCATGCAGCAGCAGCTGAAGAACTTGTTATGGATTTTGATGCTGTCATTATGGAAGCCTCCCTAGCTACTAGCAAGTAGCCTTGTAGGTAATATCAGCAATGAAAATAAATTGATATGCAAATTGAACTTAGGAGGGAAGAGGGTAAAATTATCATTTTGAGAAATCATGACGGTTATGATCGTGATTCACTAGAGCTAATCAACTACGCTACTCCATGAAGGATCTGTGGATGATTGATTGGTCCTAAAAGTAAAAGTTGTTGTAACAACCCGTCCTATGTCGGAAGTTTGTATGAAAAATATTTTAAGTATATAAACAGGAGTGATGAATTCAAATGATTTCATCTTGGCATTTGTGTTAAAGAAACAAAAATGTATATGAAATGGGTAGCTTGTGCTTTACAAAATTGTATTTGCTAACATATCCTAGCACTTCTATCATAAGTCATGATTGACTCAATCGTGAAGTGAGATCAATGAAGATGTCTTCTCTGCAGGGAATGGTGAGACTGCCCATTGGATGATCAAACCCAAATTCTTCCTCAGCTTCGCTTAACAAATCTTGGAATGAAGGGTTGTTCAAGTATGATATTGGAATTACAAATCGCTTCTTTTCACTCTCTCCAACATATACTGCAAAATGGCCCTTGGGAACATCTACTGCTGATGATGAAGTTGCTTGGTTTGCTTTCAATGATAAAGACCTTCGGAGGATTTGTTTAGCTTGCATTTATTTGTAGTTGATCATTTCATCCTGGGAGATAAACGTCCATATTCTGAAAGCACCATGGAGAGGACGAATCAGTTTTAAGGAGACAGTGTCGAACACTGGACTTGATTAGAATAATATTCAAGATATTAATCAAGTAAGTTATTTATTTATTTTCTGTTTTATTATTTATTTAAATCAGATTTTAATTTTGTTTTTGTAACAAAATAAAATATGTTTTTATTTATTTAATTCTATTTCTAGTTTGATTTTTGTAATCAAACTTTCTCTCTCCTTTCCTATTTTTTTTTTATATTCTGTTTGTCGTGTAGTACCCAAACATAATTAATTAATTTAATTACAGTGAAGATTGTCCAACAAAAAGAGCAGGCTTAGAGATAGAAAATAGATCCAATCAGACTGAAACCGGCGATAATTTCATTGAAGTGTCATGCAGCAGCAGCTGAAGAACTTGTTATGGATTTTGATGCTGTCATTATGGAAGCCTCCCTAGCTACTAGCAAGTAGCCTTGTAGGTAATATCAGCAATGAAAATAAATTGATATGCAAATTGAACTTAGGAGGGAAGAGAGTAAAATAATCATTTTGAGAAATCATGACGGTTATGATCGTGATTCACTAGAGCTAATCAACTAAGCTACTCCATGAAGGATCTGTGGATGATTGATTGGTCCTAAAAGTGAAAGTTGTTGTAACAACCCGTCCAATGTCGGAAGTTTGTATGAACAATATTTTAAGTATATAAACAGGAGTGATGAATTCAAATGATTTCATCTTGGCATTTGTGTTAAAGAAACAAAAATGTATATCAAATGGGTAGCTTGTGCTTTGTATTTGCTAACATATCCTAGCACTTCTATCATGAGTCATGATTGACTCAATCGTGAAGTGAGATCAATGAAGATGTCTTCTCTGCAGGGAATGGTGAGACTGCCCATTGGATGATCAAACCCAAATTCTTCCTCAGCTTGGCTTAACAAATCTTGGAATGAAGGGTTGTTCAAGTATGATATTGGAATTACAAATCGCTTCTTTTCACTCTCTCCAACATATACTGCAAAATGGCCCTTGGGAACATCTACTGCTGATGATGAAGTTGCTTGGTTTGCTTTCAATGATAAAGACCTTCGGAGGATTTGTTTAGCATGAATAATGCAAGGCATAGGAATAGCCATTCTTTTCAATGGGTATAAGGAATTGCAGAACAAGTGAAAGCTTTGGCAGTGAAGAATGTGAAGCTTGTGTTGGTTGTATAGGCTCATCTGTATGAGTATATATAGATCAAAAGTGGGTGGGAAATCTTATGAAATCTAGAATGAGTGGTGAAGGGACATTAGAATATTGGGGTCTACTAAGAGTCATTAGCACATGAAGGGATCACGTGGTTTTGCCAAACTACAAAGGCCCACCTGTTGAAACCTGTTATATTTGAGGACTGTCAGCTGATTTATGGCATGTAGCAACTGACAAATTACATCAAAGACTAATTGTCACTGATGGCCTTCTCGCAGATTGTCACAAATTCCTTACCTGTATTTCTTAAGAAACATCATCATGTGAGCCGATCATATGTTCCAGTGCTTTCTGGTCTAACAAATTGCATAAACAATCTCTTTTGTGGTTATTATGAATTCAAGAGATCTGATCCACATATTGTGTTGAACAAAGTAGACTTTGATGTAACTTGTCAATTGTCAGATGCCATAAACCAGCTGACAGCCATGAAATATAATAGGTTCTACAGGTGGGCCTTTGTAGTTTGGCAAAACCATGTGATCCCTTCATGTGCTAATGTCTCTCGGTATACCCTATTCTAATCTCCCTTCACCACTCATTCCAGATTTCATAAGATTTACCATGGACTTTTGATTTATATATATACTCATATCCATGAGCCTATACAACGAAGTCAAGCTTCACATTCTTCACTGACTAGCTTTCACTTGTTCTGCAAGATCTTCCTTCCTTTTTTCTTCTTGTTGAGGAAGATATTCCCAATAGAAAAGCAATGGCTATTCGTATGCCTCGCATTATTCATGCTAAACATTTCCTTCGACGGTCTTTATCATTGAAAGCAAAACTAGAAGCTTCATCAGCAGCATTTGATGTCCCAAAAGGCTATCTAGCAGTTTACGTTGGAGAGAGTGAAAAGAAGCGATTTGTAATTCCGATATCATATTTGAACCAGCCTTCATTCCAAGACTTGTTAAGGCAAGCTGAGGAAGAATTTGGGTTTGATCATCAAATGGGTGGGCTCACCATTCCCTGCAGAGAAGACATCTTCATTGATCTCACTGCTCAATTGGGAGGATCGTGATTCAATATGGAGCACACTTGTTAGCATATTTTAGCATATACACAGTTTTGTAACAAGGCAGCAATCACCATTTCTATGTACAGATTCCGTCTTTTCCTTTTCTTTTTCACACAAACAATTCATCCATTGAGGAGGGTGAGAAATATGTCATCAGAACATTATAAATTAAAGGCAAAAGGCTTCATTGCATTGAAATTTCTGTTTGTATAGATTCTGTAGTGTCAAACTTGGTAAAGCTAATACATTCTATTGATTTGGAATATCATGTTGGTCATGGTTGTTTTTGCAAGAAAAGAACTGAATCAATAGTCATTTGCCTAACCAACAATAACTCATAGATATTTAATGAAATTCCTTTGATGGACACTCTCGCAATACACTTTTGAGGCAGTATCAGCAACAGAGTATAATAGGCTGTGTTATCTGTAGATGAGTTATGTAACAATTCCAGATATGTGTAGAAACTGTCTTTCTGAGGATTTCAGTGATTAAGGCAGTCAAAATAGATAACCAGTCACTATAGAGAACCATATAAACCTACCTATAAGGCTACTTTTATAACATTAGTAGGTTAAAAGAGTGATGAATTCAGATGATATCACTTTGGCCAGTCCTGTTGGGTGAGTTTTCGTGATTGTAACTTCTGGTATCAGAGTTGAAGTTTCCAAGGCGCTGGAATGCATAAATGAGAACCATTATTGGCTGCTGCAATACAACCCTTTGATTAAAGTAAAAATCACATCTATCTTAAATCTAAAGAAAGAAAAAAACAAATTGAAGACAGACTTTACTGTTAAAGAAACAAAAATGTACATCAAATTGGTAGCTTCTGCTTTACAAAAATTTTGTTAACTAATATAAGTTAGCTGCTGTTTCATAGAACATTCAAGCAAATAGTGAGATCAATGAAGATTTCTTCTGTACATGGTGTAGTGAGACCACGCATTGGATGATCAAATCTATACTCTTTTTCAGCTTGCCTTAGCAAAGCTTCAAATGAAGGCAGGTTCAAGTATGTAACTGGAATCACTAATCTCTTATTTTCAGTCTCTCCAACATAAACTGCAAAAAATCCCTTTGAAACATCCACAGCTGTCGAACAATTTGTTTAGCATGAACATTATGAGGCATTCGAAAATCCATTGTTCTAAATGATGTGTGTGTCATTTTTTGTCTAATTTAAAGGGTATGTGGAAATCCTTTGAAATGTGGAAGACTTGTAGTTAGTCACGTACTAGACTTGTAGGTCTGATTTTAAGGGTATGTGGAAATCCTTCGAAATGTGGAATGACTGGTAAAGAAGCATTTGGATGGGGCATAGTTGGGGACATTAGCACATGAAGTATATCATATGGTTTGTCATCCGACTCATTGTCAGGAATTTAGAGTGATAGAGAGACTAATAAATTGTAAAAAACACTTGTTAGAGCAAACAGTGTAAAAAATCAAAATTTCGTAAGTGAAGTTTTGTTAAACTTTTTTTGTTTTGTTTGTTTAATGGAAAAAACACAAAAAATCAGAAACCTAAGGATGGAATTTGGTCAAAAGCTGCTTGGTTCATAGTATGGCAATGAGTTTTACTCATTGAGAATTTTCAAATTGAACATGGGCTTTTCAAAGAAAATATGACAACATTGGCAGAAACCTAGCTGCATCACTTTCCAACATACTTCACAAATAATTGCACATTATGTTATTTGATCAGGGCAGTGTTGGAATGCATCCCACATCTCCTGGAGTTGCCCCATCTGTGCTAGTTATAAGACTCTAGTTTCCCTCTCCCTCATACCTGGGTTTTAAGGAAAAATGTAGGTTGGGCTTTTCAACTTGATATCAGAGCATGGTTGAGCCTGTGACTAATGAGCTATTTGTCCAGCTAGTGTGTGTGTCCTGGTGGTGTGTTGGAATGTGTCCCACATCGTCTGGAGTTGCCCCATCTGTGCTAGTTACAAGGCTCTAGTTTCCCTCTCCTTAATACCTGTAGTTATAAGGCTCTAGTTTCCCTCTCCTTAATACCTGGGTTTTAAGGAGAAGTGTGGGCTGGGCTGGGCTTTTCAACTGGCAAAAGAATGCACATTAAAGATTTGGCTTCAGTAACAAATATTGCTGCAATGTAATAATAGTGTTCTAATAGATAAATTTCAGGGACTGGATGACAAGCTAGCAATTGGATGGAAACATTGCCTGATTAACAAAATTCAATTAAAAAGCGAAGTGAAGCTATTCAATTACCATGAAGATTGAACTACCAATTCACTTCTCAGCAAAAAAAACATATTGACATTGATTCACAAGAAACACTCCTACTATTCTAATTCAAAATGGTGTGAATCCAAAAACAAGAAAGTCTGAGTCAATGATGTTAGAGTCTTTTTTCATTTCTTGCTCATGAGCAATTCAAACTACAAGTCATGTCAATGAAGGTCTCTTCTTTACATGGGATTGTAAGACCTCCCATTGGATGATCATACCCAAATTATTCTTCGGCCCATCTCAGCAAGCTTTGGAATGAGGGATGCTTCAAATATGATATCAGAACAACATACCGCTTCTGCTCAGTTTCTCCAACATAAACAGCAAGGTGGCCTTTGGGTACATCCCATGCCATTGGAGCAGAAAGAACTCTTCTGATAACTTGTTTTGCTTGAGGAACCCCTGGAAATCCCCACGATTTCTAGGTTGAGTTTTTTTAATTGGAAGAGTGATCTTGGCAAGTAATTAATCTCTAAGACTTGTGCAGAGCAAGATTGCAGGAATACAATATATATAGAGCAAATTCTATATGTCTAGCATTCTCAAATGGAGTGTGTGATGAAGAGACTATTGCGTTGTGGTCCCTTGAAGGTCATGTGACATGGGGTACCACATGGATATGCCTCCCCAACAAAAATATTATGTGATGTTTGTGACTCTGCAGAAAATAAGGCCTGCTTAAAACGACATGTCTATGGGTCTGGTTGATGATCAAAACATATACTGACTGCAGATTGGATCAAATACTTGTTATGCAAGCCATATGTGGCTGTCGTAAGATTTGTTGAAAATTGTGGTCAAGTGAACACGAATGCAACCGGTGTTGACTGTGTCATAGCAACACCAGACATGGTATTGCACAGTTGAGCTGCTCATGTGACAATGTTCCTTGACATATACCAGTGTGAACCAGTGATAATGTGAGCTTAGTCTGAATTGGGAAGGATGGTAGTTTGAGTAGAAGCACTACGCCAAGCCTGAAATATACAGTCGTCTATGGTGTTAACATCCAAATTGAGCCATGACACCAAACCAGTAAGGCTTAAATTGGATAAAGGTCAATTCAAATATTTCAAATGATTGGCAATAACCTATGAAGCAAGCATATGGGTGCCTTACGAGTATGGAAAAGCTTTGAAAAAAAAATTATTTATTTTTCTGAAAATTAGAGGAAAGATGAAAAGTAGTGAAGGAACCTCAAGTCTGAGTACTGGCTTGGTATGTGGAAATTTGAATGAAGCAAGTGCTCCCTAAAGACCTGTTTGACATTTTTTATTGATCACTCACTTTAATGGCAAATGTTGTTGGAACAATATATGATCACAGAGAATATGGAAGGGATTACTTTGCTAGCTTAGTAAAAATACTAAAGCAAATTGGCTGTTGTATAGGTTGAGTAGCGTACTGAGTCGCTCTAAAGACAACCCAATCACTACATCCTCAGGATAAAACAACCCAAAAGGAGAGAGGATCAATTAAGCAAAATCAGTGCACTAATTAAGCACACGGTTTTCTCCAAAAATATAATCCTTTTTTGACCAAAAAGTCCTAGTCTGACTCTGCATGCATGTGTCTTTGATATGCGCCAGCGGGATGTGACGTGTGATGCATGCTCAGTAAGGTTTTTTTGGTGAAATCAAAATCTGCCAAGCTAATTTGGTCGTGGTCTGTGTGCATGCAAGGGTCACTCCTCTACTTCATCACTACAACCCAATACAAGAGTGTACCTCATAAGTAAAAACTTTTTCTTCCTCGTTCCAATGTGAGACGAAGGTGAAAATACACACTAATTATAACAATTGTCTTTTAAGGGTTTGACTGCTAACATTGAGAGATTTTGGATATCGAATCTATGAGTCGAAGGAAAAGGGAAGGAAAAAGTGAAAAAAAATTAACGTCAGCTCATTCACTTTTCCCCTTCATTTTCCTTTCCGTCCACAAATCCAAGATCCAAACACAGTTTAAAAAGCCATTCTGATTCTTTACATTGTAAGGATCTTGATTTTTCTTATCCAAAAAGATCTTCAAAATTCTTTACAAGCAAATGTCGCAACTTGTTTCAGCTGATCGACCTGTTATTCAAAAACATGTACCAAAATCTATGTTAGACGATAAATATTTTCTCTTCCAATAGTAAACAAAACTTGAATTCCTCCTGGCTAAAAAATTATGTGGCCTGACAGGTATCTTGCAACCAAACATCAATCCTTCATCCATTTCCTACCCTATCCACACAAGGGTGTTCATCAAGGGACTTTCACCTAATCTCTATGAGTCATCATCGATTAGGCACTGAATATTGATTCAGTTCTTCATAAAACATCCATGACCAACTAGATATTTCCAATTTGGATTTCAATAGTTAACCTAGTTTAACAGTTCCAGCAGATGATGGAGCCGGTGAACTCTGCCAAAGCCCAGAAAGCATGCCCAAATTTCAAATAGAATTCAACTGAGAAAATGGACATGAAAACACTACACAATCTATATAAACAAAAATATCAATGCAATGAAGCTTTTGCCTTCAAATGTGAGAGAATTTCAAATTTATAATATCCTGATGGCATTCTCTCTCTCTCTCTCTCTCCCTCAATGGATGAAAGGAAAAGAAAGAAAATTTGTACATAGAAATGTTAATTAATGCTTTACAAAATTGTGTCATCTAACATATCCTAGCATTTCTTCTGTCATGAATCATGATCCACCCAATCGAGAAGTGAGATCAATGAATATGTCTTCTCTGCAGGGAATGGTGAGACCGCCCATTGGATGATCAAATCCAAATTCTTCCTCCGCTTGGCTTAACAAGTCTTGGAATGAAGGCTGGTTCGAGTATGATATTGGAATTACAAATCGCTTCCTTTCGCTCTCTCCAACATAAACTGCAAGATGGCCTGTTGAGACTTCTTGTTTTGCTTTCAATGATGAAGACGATCAGAGGACTTGTTTAGCATGAATGATATGAGGCATACGAATAAAAATTTGTACATAGAAATGTTAATTAATGCTTTACAAAATTGTGTCATCTAACATATCCTAGCATTTCTTCTGTCATGAATCATGATCCACCCAATCGAGAAGTGAGATCAATGAATATGTCTTCTCTGCAGGGAATGGTGAGACCGCCCATTGGATGATCAAATCCAAATTCTTCCTCCGCTTGGCTTAACAAGTCTTGGAATGAAGGCTGGTTCGAGTATGATATTGGAATTACAAATCGCTTCCTTTCGCTCTCTCCAACATAAACTGCAAGATGGCCTGTTGAGACTTCTTGTTTTGCTTTCAATGATGAAGTCGGTCAGAGGACTTGCTTAGCATGAATGATATGAGGCATACGAATAGCCATTGTTTTGAATTGGGTATATCTTCCTCAACAACAAGAAAAAGGAAAGGGCTTGCAGAACAAGTGAAAGCTTCGCTAGTGAAGAATGTGAGGGTTGTGCTGGCTTAACACTTGCTGATATGCTTACATAGATCGAAGTTATGTGGGAAACCCTATTGAAATCTGGAATGAGTGGTGAAGGAACAAGAGACACATGGTTTTGCCTTCCTGCTCATCAAGATCATGAATTTATGGCAATGGACCAAACTGTACCTGTGTGTATGCTAGTTGGAAAACATCATACCCTACCACTACGGATAACATACCCTACCAGGTAAAATTATATGATTTTGATTGTTTTGATGTTGTAGCTCTTTGTTTCAACTTTTATAAGGCCAATCATTCAAAGAAACAACTACACAGGTCCTAATGAAACACTAGCAAGCAGAACATATGAGTCATCAGTTCGTATGACAATGTTGCATAAAAAATTGAAGGAACAAATAGGGATGCTAGCTTTAATAGATGCACTAAATCAACTTAATCTGTGAAAGTATTCTATGCTGGTATCATCTAGAACCCAAATTGGCTCCAACAAATGAAGTTTCCTGTGTTACAATTTGGATACTCCTTGGAGACTAGTATCATGACCATCACATTCAAGCCATGTAATTCAATTATACGAATGAATGTCAAATGATAAAAACTTAGGATTCAGAGGTCTTTTGGTTTGAAGATGACAAGTCCAATTGGAGCTTCTATGATACCTATCATCCCTCCAAATCCTGGTCCAAGCTACGATCTTTGCCTCTTCTTGCTTGTTTGTGTCAAGAGGCATTGTCACAGGCAGCTGACTTATCTAATCTTAAGCTTGGTTTTGTCTTAACACACATGTGACTGATAGACTTCTCACAAATTATCACCAAGTCCTTACCTGTGTTTCTTAGGAAACATTGTCATGTGAGCTGATAACTCATATGTTCCAGTGCTTGCTGGTCTAACAGAAACTTTAAGTTGCAGACAGGTTTTCTATGGTTGTTGCAATGCATTCAAGAGATCCAATCCACATATCATGTCAAACTAAGTAGTCTTTGATATGACTTGTCAGTTGTTACTTGCCATAAATCAGCTGACAGTCTTCAAATATAACACAGGTACAACAGGCACAGTTTGGCAAATCCATGTGATCCCTTCATGTGCCAATGTCTCTCATTAGACCCCGGTCAAATGTTCCTTTACCACTCATTCCAAACTTCATAAGATTTCGCACAGAATTGTGATCTATATATACATATTGAACCTACACAACCAACACAAGCTTCACATTCTTCATTGTCAAAGTTTTCACTTGTTCTGCAAGACCCTCATTCCTTTTCCTTGTTATTGAGAAAAGTATTCCCAATTGAAAACATTGGCTATTCGTATGCCTCACATTAGTCATGCTAAACAAATCCTTCGAAGGTCTTTATCATTTAAAGCAAACCAAGCAGTAGAAGATGTTCCCAAGGGCCATTTTGCAGTTATGTTGGAGAGAGAGAAAGGAAGAGATTTGTGATTCCGATATCATACTTGAATCAACCTTCATTCCAAGACTTGTCAAGCCAAGCAGAAGAAGAATTTGGATTTAATCATCCAATGGGCAATGGGTGTTCTCACCATTCCCTGCAAAGATGACATCTTCATTGATCTCACTTCTCAATTAGGTGGATCATGGTTCATGATAGTGGACACTTGCTAGCATATTTTAGCGAACACAATTTTGTCACAAAGCAGTAATCACCCTTTCTATGTACAAAAAAAAATTTCTTTTCTTTTTTGTCACACAAAAGATTCAGCTGTTGAGGAAGGAGAAAAAATATCATCAGAATTTATAAACACACTTTAATGGCATTTTCTCACATTCAAAGGTGAAAACTTCATTGCTTTGAATTTTTTTGTTTTTATAGACTTTGCACTGTTTCAATGTCCATTTTCTCAGTTGAATTCAATTTGCATTGAATTCTACTAGTATTGAATTTAGAGTGCATTTGTGAACAACTAGAGTGATAATTAACAATACTGCAAACAATGAAGACAATACTGTTAAAGAAACATAAATTACATCTAGACTGCTTCAGGTCACAAGTGTGACATTGCCGTCCTACAACTTCAGGTCAGAGCCTAAAGAGGGTCCCTTTGAAATTTTCTAAATCTTCTCTTTGATCTTAGTTAGATAAGCTTTTAAAACCTTTATGGCGAAATCAGTACATGTTGAAACACCACGAGAACTTCAATGATAAAACTAATTATGCAATCTTTGCCTCCAATTTTGTTAATTAGTTCAATGGGAACAGTAAACTACCTCAACATATTTTTAATTGTACATTACGTTATCTGGTAATGAAAATAATAATAAAAAATTACAAAAAGTTGGAAAATTTGAGTTAGAAAATAGTAGAAACTTGCTAGAACAAATGGTGTAAAAAATGATAATTCCTAAGTATTGTTAAAAAAAAATAAAAATAAATAATAATAATAATAATTAAATGGAAAAAACACAAATTTGAAGATTTTTACTCATTGGCCTGTTTCAGATTGAAAGTGGGCTTTTCGAAGAAAATATGATAACGTGGACCCAAACCTAGCTGTATCACTTTCTCAACATATTAATTGATGTTATTTGATAATGCAGAGGAATCCATATCAAAGATTTGGCTTTAGTAACAAAATGTGCTGCAATAATTTCATGGACTGCATGACTAGGTTGCAATTAGTTTCTCAGATAAAAACATATTTACATTGATTTCTTAACAAACACTAATATTCTAATCCAAAAATGGCGTGAATCCAAACAAGAAAGTCTGTGTCAATGGTGTTAGAGTCTATTGTTGCTGTAGTCTAGCATTTTGTTCATCTTTGCATTTCTTACTTGTGAGCAGTTCAATCTGCAGGTGATGTCAATGAAGGTCACTTCTCTACATGGGATTGTAAGACCACCCATTGGATGATCATACCCAAATTCTTCTTCAGCCCATCTCAGCAAGCTCTGGAATGAAGGATGCTTCACATATGAAATCGGAACAACATATCGCTTCTTCTCAGTTTCTCCAACATAAACAGCAAGGTGGCCTTTGGGTACATCCTGTGCCATTGGAGCAGAAAGAGCTCCTCTGAAAACTAGTTTCGCTTGAGGAATCCCTAGCAATCGGATACCCATGATTTCTAGTTTGATTTTTTTTAATTGGAAGTGTGATCTTAGCAAGTGATTGATCTCTAAGGCTTGTGCAGAACAAGATTGTTAAATGGAGTGTGTGGTGAAGAGACTAGTGCATAATGGTCCCTTGAATGCCATATGACATGAGGTACCACAAGGATATGCCTCCCCAACTGGTTAAATGGATCAAAGATTAAATTAGTAGGGACTTTTCTGTGAAATAATCTCACATCTTCATTACACAAGCCATATGTGGCTGTTATAAGATTTTGTTGAGAAATTTTGGTCAAGTAAACATGAATCCAACCAGTGTTGAGTGTGTTGTAGCAACACCAGACATGGGATTTTGCACAGTTGAGTTGCTCATGTGACAGTTGTGTTGCACAGTTTAATTTGAATTTTTTTTTTTGAAAATTAGAGATTGAATAGTTGAGGTGAAGGAACCCCAAGTACAAAGGGAACATCCAGTGGTTGCATAGTGGCTTGCTATGTGGAAATTGGAATGAAGCAAGCGCTCCCAAAAAACATATTCAACATTTTTACTTGTCACTCAGATTTAAATGACAAATATCTTCAAGGGTTTGACATTTGACATTGAGAAAAGGAAAAAGAAAAAAAGAAAAGAAAAGAAAAGGTGAAATTTTTGTGTTTAACCCTGTTTGTGGAGGAAAAAGAAAAGAGAAGGGAAAGGTGAATTTTTTTTAGGTGTAGTTTATTCACTTTTTTCTTTTATTTTTTTTCCCTCTATAAATTTAGGGTAAATTATATTAACACTCCCTGAGATTTATATTTATTACAGTTTCTCCTTTCACCTTTTGAAAATTACATCCCCTCTTTGAAGTTTAAAGTTTCATGACAGATTGCTCTCTCCTAATTTAATTTTTTTAAATACAAATTTTGC